TGAACTCAGGCTTGCCTGACTTAAAAACCCTTTCAGGGCTTCCTTATTCTGTCCAAGTTCTGCTTCGGGTTGTAAAAGCAATTCCTGCATGTGGGAGAACATCTGGAGATTTTAGAAGGGTGTAAATAAGAAATCGGTCCATTTACCTTATAAAATCACTACCCAGAGAGAGACCTTGGAAATATCTTGGAAATAATTTCCTTTCATATTTTTCTATACATATTTGCATATGCATGTTAATTTTTTTACAAAATTGGGATAGTGTAAGCTAGTTTTTCTTGTTTCTTTCTCCCCTCCGCCCCCCGTGGCAGTATCAGTTCTTTCACGCTGTGAAAGGGTGGAAAACACTCCACATGATTCACTCCGGCTCTTTTGACCCCAGCAAGCCACCTAAGAGCTGAGGCCTGAGCACACCCTCCCGGCCTCTCTCTCTTCTGTCCCTTCTGCTCCCCTCCAGCCAGATCCCCAGACATGGATTCCAAACACTGCCATCTGACCTCCCAGAGGCCCTTCCAGACCTCCCTGTCCTTTGTATTAAGGTCTCCCCCAAAAAGTTTATGGTCCCAGGAATTTACTTTGAGAACTTTAAAAAAAAAATCATTTCTCTGTGAACCAGAGGGTCAGGAAAGCAAGGCAGCATCTCATGGAGGTGGCGAGCACAGCTACTTTGGAGCCCAGGCTCTCCTCTTACCAGTTACAAATAATCTTGGGCAAGTTACAGAATTTATCCCACCTCTGAAAGGGAGTTGTTGTGAGCGACAAGGGAGGACGCGCCGGGCACGGAGTTAGAGCTACTCAGCCACGGTGGGTGGGGGGGGCCTCCGGGGACCACTGCCACCGCTGGGGTCTGGGTAGGGTGGATGGGGAGGTTCCTCACTGGGGGCATTCACGCTTCCACACCTTAGAAGCCGGTCACATGAGTGGACTTACAGCCACTCTTTGTGGAGGAACTCTCTAAGGCCAAAGGGAAGGCTGCATCCCTAAACAGATTTTTATATTAATTAAACCTTGTCATCAAGGTTTTCCAACTCTTCCTGGTTTTATTACACAGTCCAGACCTGTCTTTCTTTGGCTGGGCTTCCTCGACTCTCCGCCTTCAGCACGCTATGTAGGGGTTCAGGCTACTTGCCCTTCTGACAGAGAGGCCCGGACATTAGAAGCCCGAAGTGGATAAAGTACACGAAACGGTCCCGGGATACCATCCGGGAATGGAAGGTTCTCAGAAGCCTGCCCCCTCTATTTATAAGATAATGCAGAACACGCAATGAAAGGATCCCTAATCTGGTCACAGAGAAAGCTAGCCAGAGACAGGTTGCTGGCAGGCACCTCCCACATCCCAAGTGGTAACTCCCTGCGTCCGTGGGGCCTCTCCGTGCCGTGCATCCCCACTGCCCAGAGGTCCTGGGTGATCTTCCCTCCTCCCTGGAGACAGGCAGTGGCACGGCCCCCTGGGAAAGGACAAAGGACATCGGTGCTGAAGTCAGGAGAGGTAGGTGTGCATCCTGCGGCCCTGCCCCGCACCGTTGCAGCTCTCCGAGTGTGGACAGGTGAGCTCAGCAGCTGACCTCCACCCCGAGAAGGTGGAGGAGGAAGCTGGCCTCCCAGGGAGGCTCAGCGGGTTAAAGGCAATTGCCCACCAGAAGGTGGAGCACACAGGAACAGCCTTCCCTTGACCCTGAAGAATATGAAGTCAGGGTTTGGATTCTGTAATGGGACTTGATAAGAGAACTGATGATGGTTCTTCTATTAATTGTCTTCAGAAATTCACCGAGCCTTGATTCGTAGAATTAAAAGGGCAAAGTGGCTTTGTCTTTGGACACCATCTTTTTCACTCTCATTTTTCAGAAGAGTCAACTGAGGCCCAAGTTCATGCCAAGAAAACAGACCAGGGGGAGGCTAAGAGGCAAACGTGAGCTCTGATCCTGGACATCACAAAGGAAAGCGAGGAAGAAACCAAATGTTCAGAGCCAATGTTAATTAACTCATTTCTCTTTTGCCCTTTCTTTATTGTTCCTAGAAGCAATTATGTGTCTCCTACCCTCTCTCTCACCTCCAACCCCTGCATAAAACTGTCACAGATTAAATCAGATTGCTCAGCCATTTCATTAGGGAGAACCTGGCTCTCCGTCTCTGGGGGCATTTTTACTCTGTCCAAATGAAAGCCTCTCGCAGAGAAGTTAACTCCTTCCTGGAGAACACGGGAAGCCAGCGAGCCGACCACTCAGGGCTGTCGAGACCTCTCTCCGAACAGCACGGGGTACGGTGGCCTGGCGCGTGCATGCCGACCCGAGACCGAAGAGACCAGAGTGCGAGAAAACAGGGCAGAGCGGGTGTGTCAGACCTCTGGGACCCACCCGACCTTTCGCATGTCGCCACCCTGCGTATGTTTCTTTGCTTGGAAGGACCTCAGTTTTCCTGCCTGAGAAACGCAAGCCTCAAGCTCTTCTTTTTCCTGTCCCCGATTCCACAGATCCCCCCAAATCCACACGCGTTCTTGAGAAGAATTACGAAGTTGTCAGGAGGGAGTGAAGTCGGAGTTCAGTCTGATCGACAGCCGAGTCTTTTCTTCCCCGTGACCTGGCTGGGGCTGTGGTTGAAGGAAGGGGAGAGTAGGACGTGAAGGCTGCGGGCTGCAGGCTGCTGCCCAGAAGGGGCTCCGAGTGAGAAGCCGGAGAGGGGGGCTGGGCCGGGCGGGTGTCTGCGGGCTGGGAGCTGACACCCAACATGGGGCCGGGGTCAAGGCACAGTCCCTGGTGTTTAACGGACGCTAGGTGCAAGTGTTAGGCCGCACGGAAGAGCACGGCATTGCTGGGGTGCCCTGTGGCGTGGGGACACGGGAGACAGGACAAGGGACGAGGCCAGCACGCGTGTTTCGGAGTTATCCCCAGACAGGAGACCTGCAACACCTCTCCCCAGCCCGTCCTGAGAGCTTTCTCCGGGCCTTGGTAATGACAGTCAGGGAAGCAGATGGTCTGGGGTGACTGGTGGGCTCCAGGAAAGCACGAGGAGCAGGGCAGAGAGGCAGAGGCCTCTGTGGGACATCTCTGCAGAGCACACAGGGGCACAGCTCCGTGGGGGAGAGCCATCTCCTCAGAGTCAGAGGCGACTTTCTTTGCTCCTTCCCTGAACATGTGTAAGGTGGGACCCCGGCGGTGGCCCGAGGTCCCCGTCGGGTGGGTGGGACCACAGGGGCCGGCCTTTCTCCAGGTGCTGGCTCAGGGCCCAGGACCCAGCTGCAGGGAGTGAGGCTCCCAGCCACTCCACTGGCGTGGTCTTTTGAGCACTTTTTAGGAGCACATTCTCTTGAGTGCCTACACCAGCCGAGGAGCTGGGGAAAGGACAACTTGTCTCTGCCTCCTAGAGCCAGGGTGATGCTGTTAAACCCTGCCTGGCTTGCAGGAAGGGTCCTGCCAAGGTCAAAGGTGTCCCTTTGGCTGTATGGGGTCAGGGGAGGGGTGTTAAGAAGGGGAAAGGAGGGACTTATACCCCGAGGGGCCACACCCTAGAACTATCTCTGTTGTTTTCAGTCAACAGGATCAGAAGATGGGGTTCTTAACTTTGAATGTGGGATCCATTCCAGCCACACTTTCTTGGTGCATTTTAGGCTTAGAGTTCTTGCAAGTTTATAATTATCTTAGGAAGAGCACAGTTATAAATGAACTATTTGAGTTACGACTGATGAACTATTCATGTAAATATTTAAAATATATTAACTTTCAAGCAAAACTCATTTTGGTTTCTCTTGTTTTCTAGTACACTAAATATCCCACCTGCCCACCTCCTCCTCAGTAAATTAGGAAGTGATACAGACTTCCCTCAATCTCTGGAAATCCTTGCCGAGAGCACAGATCTTTCCAGAATGTGAATATGCAGTGTATAGGGGAAGGATTTAAGACCAGGGTGGGGGTTGGGTTGACAGACTTCTGGACCCTTTCAAGCTACTCAGTTCTCCACCCTAAACTGCAGACAAAGAAAGGGGTGGAGTGTAAGTTTGCACTTGGGCAGCCCCAGCTGGGGGACCCTGCCCTTCCATTCTCCTCCTTACCCTCACGAGACAAGAAGGGCTCTGACTATGGGTAGGGCCTTCTTCTCTGTGCCTCAAGGATCCCAAGAAGACACATCTTCTGTGATTGCCCTAAGCTCCCTTCTAAAACGCTCGTACGAGGGCCCAGAATTTGAATGTTTATCATTATGAACAATCTGAAAATACACTATAAACTGCTGTCATTAACATGGATTTTAGGATTTTAGGCCAGGCCACGTTCTCAGTGCTTCTTGTGCTTTATCTGTTAATTTTGCAGCCACGACTGGATGTTGTTTCATTATCATTCCCTGCAACAGGCAGGCAGAGGTCCATAACTTGCCCAAGGTCACCACGCTTGGATGCGCAGAGCCAGAATGTGAACCAATATGGAACTGGAGGCTCAGCAGTTCAAATCCATGCTGTGTGACCTTAGACAAGACCTCACCCTCCTGGGGACTCGGTTGCCTTCACTGAGAAATGGGGTGAGGGATGCAGGGACTTGACAATTATCAGAAGTCACAGCAGATGTGTGAATGGGGCACGCTGCAAGCACGCAGCGTTGGTATGGAGTTTCCCTTCTTCACCGTGGGTTAGAGCCTGTGGAGAAACGAACGCAGGAGAAAGTTGGGGCAGAAAGTACCCTTTGCTCTCCCCCCCTCTGGTTGTCAAGCTGGTACCTCCTTGGGTGTCAGCTGCTCCCAATTCCCCATGCATGGGGGTTGGGACAGGGTCCTGAGTGGGGGAGGGAGGGGCTGCGGCCCCCCTGAAACGCCCCTCGCGTTGCACACAAGGTACCGCTGGTTGCTTTCCGCCAGCCAGGGCTCGGAGTAATGGAAACTTCTGCCACCAACAGCATTTGCTCACAACTTCCTTCTCTGTGGTTTTTCTCTGTCATTCCCTTGATAAAAGACCTGGGGCTGAGCAAATGTAACCAACATTCACGGATCTCAACTTCACATGAAAACACCCGCCCCTCAAGAAGTGAGCTGCTGAGAAGTGATGCACCATGTACTCTAAACTGGGTCATTCCTCACCCAGAGGGCTTGGTGCGTGGCTGACTTGCTGTGTGTATCCCCTGTGCCGTAGGCTTCGAGCATCTTCGACAGCCCAGGGAGACAGAGCGATGGGAAACAGTATGCGATCCACCCCAGCACCTCCCGAGAGGCCTGTGCCCAGCCCAGATGGTAAGTCTGGCTTCTTGGCTCTTGGGTGTGATGCTTAACTCCATCGTTCGAGAGCTGGGGCCAAGACCGAGCGACCGGGACTGCTGACAATTGGTGAAGCAGGGCACGGGGTGCAGAGGCACTCATGGTACCTGCCTCTCTCAACTTGCTCATGGTTAGCATTTCAAAAGATTGAGCAGGGATGCCCTGAGTGGCTGCTGGGCGGCTGGCTTGTGTGGTGGACCTTTGAGAACAGCTCGTTCCACCTTTATTTGACAGGTGGGGAAACTGAGGCTCACTAAGGAAATGTGAACCGCTACGGGAAGAGTCAGATTTCCAACCCAGCCCAGTCTGATTCTGAAAGCTAGGCTCTTGCTTACCACACCCTGCCAGCCAGCCGTGATATAATATTATCGTGAGTTTAATATTCACAGCTCTGCAGAAGCTTTTGCCATGCAACCTGATGAAGCTAGACACTAGCTCGAGGAAATCTTCCTGAAAAGAAAGGAATCCTGGGTCCCCTTGGTGGGATTACAGGGCTAGCCATCCTAGGGGGAGGGCACAAGGCCATGGGTTGTACAGTGATGACAGAAGTCAGCTTCCCGCGGCGCTGCTGGGTAGAGGCGGATTCCCGAAGCTGAGGAGCCCTTCAGAGACTGGCCAGAGAGCCCTAAGAGGACATCAGCAAGCAGAGGGCAAAGGCTGAGAGTAAAGCCCCTTTTGCTCTGGGTGGGGTGGTGGCAGCGCACTGTGTGGGTCCTCGAGGGGCTTGGGAAGGGGATGGTCAGGAGATCCATCAGGGTCCCCAGGGTGAGTCCCCTTGGGACATTTCCACCTCCTATCTGATGTCACAGTGCTGGTGCTCAGTCTCCCACTGCTAATGCCCCGCGTTCCCCGCACCCCCCGCAGCCCTGCACGCTGCAAAGTTCCCATGCACAGATGGCCACCATCCTGCCTGCTGAGAGTCCACCGTGCCAGGCGCCTGTCTCTACTTCTCATTCCACAACTTCTGTGGCCCCTTCAGCAAGGAGGTGCCTTCTCATTGCTTCCAGAATGGAGACACCAAGTTATACATGGTCTCATGATCCCTCGGATGCTCCCAAGGGAGCAAGCAGAGACCCTGCCGCCCACTTTGGTCCCCAGGCAGGGCAACTCTAGTGGCTGTCTGTTCCAACGCCCCTCCTTAAGCCTAAGGGGGGAAAGATGAAAAGAACATTCTCCGGGACAAAGGGCATGGAACCATGTGATGAGGTGGGGCAGCCAGGCGCTCTGGGCCCCTCTGCCTCCCATGCAAACCTCAGAATCGGGTACCGGCCGGGCCTCCTGCTGCCACCAGGAGAGAGCCTGGGCCCTTCTCCCACCTTCTCCAAATCAGCGCAAATCACAGCTTCCCCTTCTGGTCATGGCTCCTTGTGGAAAACGCCCAGGGCCCACCCCAGCTCGGGAGGTACCCACCCACCCAGCGAGGCCATTTTGTACTGCGGCTTCTTGGCCCAGGGCAGGGGGTGCGGTATGCTTGAGCAAACCCCATGAAAACACGGGTCTCCAAGGGCTCGCTCATTTGCCTTTAGTTTTTGAATGCAAATTCTCATGACATAAGTTTCTCTTTTTCCACTGTGTGGGTGGTGGGAGGTCACCTCAAAAAGGGAGGTAGAGGGGTCTCCCCAGCCCTCCACCCCCTGGTGAAGAGAATTCCCCAGGTCGGACCCAGTGTGTGATCCAGGCAACCACATCAAGCACAAGTAGCTGCCTTTTCCATCCCCCACCCCTGAAAAGTTTCCCCTGTGATCAGTCCTAATTTGATTTCCCTCCCCCCCTTTTTTTTTCTCCCATCCACTTGAAGAAGGGAGAGGAAAGTGGTTGCAATGGGTGCTGCATTAATTAGTCTCTAGCCGATGGATGCAGACGGTTTGGGTTTTCATGGAACATGCACCCACTCAGCTAACACTCATGCTTACTCATTTGGTCAGGCTCCAGCTCCCAGGAAGTAGAGTGGAGAGCTGAGTGCTTTAGGCCAGCATACAAGTGGAGCTTCCTCTGATGTTAGGCTGAGTGGTGGAGAATGAAAGTTACCCAAAGCCCCAGGCCCTACACAGGGATCAGCAGGATGCCTCACCTGTAAACTGCTAGACAGACACGTTTCCTGAGCTTTTAGGAGCATATTGTTCCCCCCAGCAAGGACGGTGAATGCCTTGGGATGTGGCTTTGTCCATCTGTTTGCTCCTAAATGAAGCTTTCTAGAACATTCCTGATTACTCCAGTTCCTGGAGACTACTATCACAAAACCCACAGGGGTAGGAGGACTTGAAGAAACGGGGCAGGCCTCAGAGACAAACGAACTTGCTGAGCTACTAGTGTTGTCCCTGGAAGCCATTTGACCTGGGGTAAGTCAGTTGGCCTCCCAGAAGAAGGGCAGGGCTCAGCTATCAAATGGAGACCAGGACAAACCCCTTCTCAGAGCACTGACAGCACAAAGTAGTCACCTGATAAATGTGGAGGGAATCACTTTTCTAAACTCCACTGGGGGTAACCTGATTGCACAAGGCTCTGTCTAAATGTCCCCCCCCCAAAAAAAGCAGGTTTAAAGCAGTCAAATTGGGGGTTCCATAACTTGCTTGCCAGTCAACCCAAATAACTCATTTTCTCTATAATCCTATCCTTATTTCAGACTCTTGCTCTGTGCCAGACACGGACAGTACAGAATTGAGTAAGACCTAGGGAACGCCCATGTAGCTGGGAAATGACATATTTCTACCTTAAATAGAATTTGAAGGTACAATTTTCCCCCACCTTACCTTTTTTTTCCCCCCTCTTCACATTTTATCACCCTGATCTCACTGACAGAGGTCATAATGCAAACCCAGACACTGTTCAGAACCCCTTCTGTGCAAGCATGGAAATCGCGCTAAGCGGGGCGTTTACCTAGCACCTAGGGTGCTGCCCCATAGAAAGAAGACATGGGAGGGGGTCTGAGGAGGAAGAAGGGGGCAGGGAGGTCTCTGACCCAGCCTGGCACTTCCCCAGTGAATGATTCTCAGACCACCTGCATCAGAGCCTCTGGAAAGTTGTCAAAAATGCAGATCGCTGGGCTCCGCCCCAGATTTGCTCATCAGAATTCGATGATGGTGGAGGGGAACGACCCGTAAAATTTCTTACAAGCCCCCCGGTTTGAGCTGAAAGCTTGCGTTCCCCAGACCCAGCTTTTAGTCCTGCCCCTACTCTTAACACCCGATAAGCAATGAGAGAAGTCAGTTTGTCTCCGTAGGGTCCCTCTTGTCTCACTTGTAAAATGGAATGATGGGAGTGACTCTATAACGTGCCAGACATGATTCCAAGTGCTCTACACACATCATTCTCCCTCCTCCCAGTCTCCGCAGGAAGTGATCGCTATCACAGACAGTCCAGTGCCCTGGAAGGGAACCTGCAACAGACCTTTGACTAGACCCACCTTTTCCACCTGGGTCTTACTCATCCCACTTCGGGTCCCTAAGATGGTTCTAGGTGGAACGTGATCGTTCAACTTTTTACACTGAATGTACAGCTTCTGCACTTGTAATGGAAACCATACAAAATGCATCTTGTCCATCAGACCGTGATTTCACGGTGCCTAGAATAGGGCTAAAGATTTTTTTTTTTTAAAGCAAATTAACATAAAGAAAGACACTGTTAAGTAAATAGTAGTGAGGGTGGTATTCAGTAGCATCAGGAGAGCAGGTGGCCAGGGACAGAGTCTGCCCCCTCTGCCGCTAGGTGACTGGGTTTTGAGACTGGGCACTCGGCCTGCTACTGTGTGCTCCTGAGCTAGTCTCTCCACCTCACTGTGCCCTCTGAGAGCCTCACGATCTACTCGGTCCCAATCTGCTCCATCTCAGAGATGGGACAGCCAATGTGTGGGGCAGAACAGAACTTGTGGACCACTGCGTCTCACTTTTCAACCCACAATATAGGACCCACGGGTACAACCTGTGGCTTGTGGTGATCAGCAGAACTTGGTAGATCTCCGATCAGGCCAGTCTGCCCAGCCCCGTCTGATTGGTTAGTCGTGTGTGTATATTTCCTGTAAAAGACATTGAAAGCAAGGCCTGCTTGGACCCTCTGGAGGCCATGGATTTGGGCACAATTCAAGGGCGTGCAAAACCAGAAGCTGAAAGCACTGGGTTGTTTAGCTCCTTGCCAACCAACTGCACTCGGCTGCTGGTGCCAACTTGGAAACCTCATTTGGAGTCAGCGTTTGTCCCAACCTGTCAAGGAGCAAGTGCTAATTGGAGAGAGCCTGGTAATTACATGCCAAGGAGAGCTCTGTGGCCTAGGGACATGGCCAGGAGCTTTAACAACCCTCATGCTCCCGCCGCAGGTTACTAAACACTCTCCCAGCCTTTGTTTCTTCATTTTTTTAAATAAGAATGTACATTCTCTAGGGTTGTATGGAGCATTGGGAGTCCTGAAAGGCTGGCTTTGCTAGAGTTATAAATGGAAACTACTGAAAAGTTTTTAGCATTTAAAAAGGAATGGTAATGATTCCAAGAGGAATAATAATGCTAAAAAAGGCCTGTCCTCCTTTGACCAAGTAATATCTGTGGCTAGTGAGTTCTGCCTGGGTCTCCTTCCTTTTTTGGATTCATTTCCCATTTTACACTTTTTTACAGTTCGTTCACTATGACACACTTTCAAGTTGAGCCATCGGTAAATATCTGGTCTTCCGGATTTCATCTTCTGTTCTCACCAAATGGAGTTTGTTTTTAGAAGAACAGAATATTTTCAAATTTGCACATCCAGAGGCTTTTCAAAATTTAGGACACCCTTGGCTAAAACTGGTCTTGGACTATGTGATGCTAATCCCACCCATCCCATAAACATGATATTAGCGTGTGCCCCCTGCCCCACCCCGTGGAGGCGGGTTCTGTACATATGTTGCATCATGAATCCAACCCCAATCGTACAGGGTAGATTTTGATATTTCCAATTTTATAATGAAGAAATCAAGCTCAGATTGGTTAAAAATAAATCTCTCCCCAAATCACAGAACAATTAAGTGATGGAAGTAGAATTTAAGCCAGGTCTGATTGATTCCAAGGCCCATTCTCTCTTCTGAAAAATCCTCTCTGGGTTTCTCGCCTATGCGAGGCACACTTTTTCACTCGCTTTGTTTCCTTATCTTAAATCTGTGATAATCCGGTCCCTACCTCTCCCCGAGGCCAATCACTTATGTGATTTAATTCCAGGGCTCAGCTCTCCCCAAAACCTGGGGCTCCAGGGGGACCTGACAGTGTGTTCAAGCTCTAGGAGTGAACTTGCTTTTCCTACTTTGCTTGTACTCTACCACAGGGCCTGGTAAGACAGGCGGCAGGAACGCGCATGAAATCCCTTGCGAAGGACCACACCAAGGCCATCGCTTTTAAGCAAAAGCCCCACCTTGAGGCTTTCTCAGCGACATGGAAGTGTTAAAGCTGTAAAAACATCACTATTACAGAAATTCCACAGGAAGCTCCACGCTGTTATTGTGAAATTGAAACTCTCCAGCCCCTGAAGCCTCTTCCCACTATTGAGACAATTGTTTTGATAATGGGATCGTGGTTTTTGTTTCTGTTTTTAAAGTAAGGAGAGGCGGTTGTTCTGTTTCACAGTCTTCACGGTGAAGCAGACATCAAAGCCCCAACCCCCGCAAAGGAACAGGGTCTATTTCAAGGTTCTGTGATGGTTGCAGATAGCAAAAGCTGTGCCTCTCCTTTCGGCCCTGTTTTTCACAACGGGCTGGTTCTGTGATGACCGCCCACCATGCTGCTGCCACAAATCAGGTTTCCTTCCCTTGGGCCGCGTTAGGCAGTGTTTAAGAGCCCAGTAGCGCAGGGATGTCTCCTCGTCTTCATTCCTTAAACCTGCCCTGAGCATCCGAGATGGGACAGCAGGAGCTGGGCGGGGGCTGGAGGACAGCTCCTCGTGGAGTTCACACTCGTTCCCCCCGGAGTCCTGCAAACGCCAGAATACAACCTGGGTAATCACTTCAAAGGAAAAGCCTAGAGCTTTACCCCGGGGTGGGGGGTAAAGCGGGAGCACCAGGCAAACCTCCCAGGGCGGGTGGGAGGGATGAGAAATGGGAGAGCAGGTGCTTTCCTGGCAGAGGGAGCAGCCTGTCTGGGGGCTCTGAGGACCCGGCATTCCAGCAAATTGAGAGGAACACGACGGCTCGTCACACTGCTCCTGACCAGTGGAGACCATGTTAATAAGCGGCTCCTTTATATTTGGGGCCATTAGCCCAGATTTCCATCATGAAGGTGTCTTCCAACCCCTCTTTTTCCAGACTAAAGCAGGCTGCAGAGGGGAAGGATGCAGCCACACTCAGAGTGCAAAGTCAGCCTCAAAATCAGCCCGCTTTACTGGGAAGCTGACCAGATCCTCTGTGTGGGGCCCCCCTTCATGGGCACCGCAGCTTCCTAGGGACTGTACCTGGTTTTGTATTTGCAATTTCCTTTCTGTTCTTTTTCTTAAAGAGGATTTCCAAATTTGCATGAGCTTCATGCCTCGCAAAATCTGGATCCACCCTTTATCAGAATTTGGGACTTGTGGCTTTAAGTCCAACTACAGTGCTACCTCCTACTATTGAGCTGGGGTCTGGGCTACACAAGGAAAGAATCCTTTCTTTTTTTTTTTTTTTTTAATCTAGCAAAGCAGAATGGGAGAGAGGTGTCTACGTAGGCTCCGGGAGGCTTTGCTGGGTCAACCATTCCCTGGCCAGGCCCTGCTCTTTCTCATGAGGCCTGATTCCTTTCAGTGACTTCAGTCAGCATGAATCACTTTGGTTTCCATTTCACACCTAAAAATGCTTGCTTTTACCTGCTTTGTTGTCTGTGGCTCAGGTTCCCCAAATGAACAATATAACTGAATGTGCTGTTGCATGGTGATAAGCGGCTTCTGATTCACTCTCACACATTCTACTCCTGAAGCTATCTTTGGGTTTACTCTGTCCGGGCACTGGTGTGCCACAGAGTCCCGGACATAGGAGTTGTAGGGGGCGGGGTCTAGAAGTCCCAGCATGGGGGTGTCTGGATCCCAGAAAGTGGCCAGTTTGGGCCACCAAGCCTGCCGTGCCCCAGTGCTGGGATTTCTCCTGGTTTTCCTGGGGTGAAGGGGGCGGGTGATGACTCTTCCCATGATTATTTATGGATTCTCTAGAATGTGAGCTCTATTTGAGCAGGGAGACTTGGCTTGCTTTGTTTGCCGTGTTTGGCCCAGATACTCAATGAACAATTGCTGAGGGAATGAATACATGGTAAATTACCCAGAATTTTGAGTTCAGATGCCCAGTCAGCAGATGGAGGGATAAACCCAACATCAGAGCAAACAGGTCCTGAATCAGCCCATTCTTAAGGTATATTATTTCCCAAAAACTATACCCTGCATCTAATGCACCCAAATTCCAGCAAACCGCTAAGGCTGTATAAAACAGGATTTTGCTTAGTGCCAAAAAGTGAATTCACATATTACCACTCCTTCTCTAGCTGTACTCACATGAACCAGACAGCACGCTTTCCTCTTCAAAATGTCACCAGAATTACCTTCAATGGACATATGATGAAAAGTAGTTACTTTTTCTCCCGCCCCTACCCCAAAGTACCTATTAAATAGACCCCTAGCATGGTGCCTTATATCCCACAAGGAAAAAGTGCTTTGTGGAGTTTCAGAGTTAGAGTCTTTGAGTCCTGGCGGGTCCTCAGAACTCATGTAGCCCAACCGCAACACACCCTATCCCAGTATGTGACCGATGGGGACCCACAGGCCCCAGGGAGGGTAATAATAAAAGAAGCTTTTATGGCCCCTTATCATTCATGGGGCGCTGCTGCATAATTTCATCTCATCTCCAGATGGACCCTGTAGTGAGGTAGCATTAGCCCCACCTTAAAGATGGGGAAATCGAGGCTAGTAGGCATTTGGGGACTTGGGCAAGATGACAGGGATCAGTAGACACAGCAGCAAACCTTGAAGCCAGATCTTGTGACTTCAGCTTCAAGGAACTCAGGATCCCCACTTCTCAGAGGAGAATGTCAGGGCCAAGGCGGGCTTGCAAATGGAAGGGGATCACCGACCTTGGGGTTCCTTCGAGCTCCCTGTGCCACCATCCCTGAGGAGAGGAGAGCCTGCTATAAACTGCTGTTCCAAAGCAAGTCATGTATCTCCAGCTAAGAAGTCCACGGGAGGGACTTGTCTTGGCCCTCCCCTCCCCAGGGTGGGTCGCCTTTTGGTTCCCTGTGAAGGAGAATACACCTTGGCTTTGTTTCCCCAGGACTGGATAGCGACTTCCTGGCCGTGCTGAGTGATTACCCATCTCCTGACATCAGCCCCCCCATATTCCGCCGAGGGGAGAAACTACGAGTGATTTCTGAGTGAGTTGGCTTTCCAAATGTTTCACAATCCCTTAAAAAGGGTGAACTCAATTTGAGTGGGAATCGTTAGATTTTAGTTATGGTGGTCCAACTCCACTCGGGCCCTGGTCCTATTGTGAGTGGAGAAATTTGGCCCATACAGCAGATCCTAGGGCTTAATCTTGAATACTGCCAGTGCTCTAAATTCTTCAGTGGCTCCCCATTGCCTGGTGGGTTAAATTTGAATTTCTTAACTTGGCTTTTGAGACCCTTTATGGTCCAACTTCTGCTTCCCATATTGGTCTCATCTTCCACCCATTGCAGTGTTGATATTTTCGACCAGTGCAGTGGGGGCTCAGGCAGGAGGACCCAGGGGTCTGAGAAAGCTTCTGATGATAAACAGAAAATATTGCCTTACATCCTGCTGTCTCTCCATGACTCAAAATGGGCTATAGAACAAATAGGGCGCTCTAAGCCCCTTTTACTTAGATTCTCATTGATATGGACAAACTATCTTGGTTATATCTCAGGGTGTAATTCCACATAGTAAACATTTGGTTTTAAAAAGCCCCCAATTCGGGCACACTCACTGTGGATCCCCAAAAGGTGGCTAGTGCCAGCTATGTGGGAAGGGTTCTTGGTTAGCTTGGAATGAGGGAGACACTTAAAAAGTATAGTTTCATATGGAGAACTGTGGCTAATGATGGGTTTGAAAAAGAAACGACCTTACATGGCCCGGGTGAAATCTGATTACTCTGCTCATGCGTTCGCTTTACCACTCACCAGTCCACCCTCTCCTGTCTGTTCTTGTTCTTCCAGCGAAGGGGGCTGGTGGAAAGCCATTTCCCTTAGCACTGGTCGAGAGAGTTATATTCCTGGAATATGTGTGGCCAGAGTTTACCACGGGTGAGTACGTTTCTGAAATGGCATCTATGAAGGATGATATTGATGTTAGTGATGGCTGAGCACACACAGAGAGATTCCGGCGTGGCACCGTGGAAAGGAAGTTTCAAAATGGTCACTCTTACTCTCACTCAGTCCATAAGGAAGGGTGTCACCTTGGCGAACCCCTTGCCCTATCTGAGACTCGGTTTCCCCATCAGTAAGACAAGGGAGCTGGACCTTTCGGCTCCAATGCTGTGTTCCTGGCACATAGTGATACACATTCAGCAACTGTGATCAAAGGGTCACAGCTGCTAAAAGTCAGCCTGTCTGGGTTGCAGTCCTGCCTCTGTCCCCTGCAGGCCATGCGACAGTGGGCAAGCTCCTCAACAGCTCCTGTCTCGGCTTCCTTTCTTCATCTGTCAGACAGAGATCACAATACAGAATGACAAGGGTGAGAATAGATAGTAAGACCAAAGTACAGGGCTGTGAGGATGATGAGGTGGGTAATACATGGGTAGTTCTTGGAACAATGCCCAGCATTACAGTAAGCACTTGGTACATCTTAGCTAGATTCTTATCAAATCCTATCCAGAACACAGAGAACACTTACTACCCAAAACACTTACGTACCCAACTTGACAAATGGAGAAGTCAGGCAGAAAAGGAGAAATTCGAAAGAATCGGGCGGCGCAGACAAGCACACTGCCTTCCCCTGCAGGTGTGCAGACGGGGGGCTTTGGAGACCAGCACCCCTGGGCTGGAATACGCATGGCTCAGCTCCCTGGCTTCCATGGTAGGAGGCCCCCACGAGGGCCAGGGGAAAGTTACTTCACCTCCTTGACCCCCAGTCTCCTCATCTGGCAAGCTACCAAGGCCAGACCTCAGCATAGAGGAAGGAAGAATAAAAAGCATCACTTTTTTTTTATTTGGAGGGGTCCAGAAATAACAACTTTACGCACTCACCCCTGCCGAAAGCAGAGGTAACTGCCTGCGTATTTTGCAGAATGTAACTCCGTGCATTTAATTGCAATGTCACGGATTTTGATTATGAATACCAAAAGCCATTTCTGAGCCAAGGATGATGAAGGGGAGCAGAGGTGGGACAAAAGCAGCTGTGACAGCCATGGTCTGAAATAGATGTCAGTCAAAGTAACTCTTCCAAGTCAGCTGCGTGTCACTGACCCATCCGCTCATTTAGCAAACATGCATCGACACTTTCACGTTGAAGATGTGGTACCGCATGCTGGCAGGGGCTCGGGTGGTGGGGAGCCCGGAGGAGTAAGATGTAATCACAGCCCACTGGAGCATCCAATCTAGTAGATGCAATAAATGTCTTTAAAATATCAACTAGGAAGAGAGGCGGTGCAGAAGAATGGTTATGGAATTTGAGGTCCGAGGAAAATGCATTGCAAGTCTAGCTTTACCAGTTGCTGATATGCAGTAACTTGGACAAATTACTTACTCACTCTGACCCTTCAGTATCCTCATCGGTGAAAGGGAGGCAAGACTACCGTTCTTAGGGGGTGTATGTGAGGATCAGATTTCAATGCCTATAATATGCATAATGCCCATAATTAGTATTCATACATGGCTGTCGCTATTGTTTTTCTTGTATTCATTTTTATGAGTGGAATTTCCTGGGAGGATGAATGTTGGTCACAGACACTAAGCGCATATGTTGTGCAGAACTAAAGGGGTAGTTAAAATATTAGGCTGAATCATGATCTTAACAACAAAAAGTGCTCTTTGAGGCCAGTACATAAATAAACGGTATCCGATTATAAGTCTATGGTCCTATAGCAGCCTCACAACCACGGTGCTAAAAGGACTCGCTTGTGTGCCTTGGGGATACCAAAGCATGTGATGCAGTGAAGCATTAATATTTGCCACAGCATGCACTAGTTCAGACCTATGGATTAAAAGCCAGGGATCACTCCCTGAAATACGGAGACTGTTAACAAGGAGGTATAATTGCTTCTGAGCACCCCAGCCAAGTGCTAACAAAGCATTTTCTTCCACGCTGGGATCTGTCTGAGGCTGTTCTGAAAAATGAGGAAGTGCCCACTTCCTTAGAACACAGATTCCTTTGTGCACGGAGCTGCTTCTGAAAGCATATTCAAGAGTGTTGGCTGTCGTACGGAAGGTGAACATTCTGTTGGAAAGTTGGACCACAGTATTACAACTGCTTTTTTTTTTTTTACCATTAAGTGAAAAAAATAAAAAAGCAAGAAAAACAGAAACACATGTCAATGCATCATGCAATGACAACTTTGTTTTAAATATGTTGAACAAGAGGAGACAGGAGGGGAATATAACGAATGCAATGTGGGGCTTGTTAAGTTGGTGGAATTATGCAACACCGTGTCTTTCTTGCGCCCATTTACTCATTCACAAATACACACCAAGCTCAATACCCTGGACACAAAGACAAAACCCAAACAGACAGACACAGTCGCTGCCCTCATGGGGTGGTGAGGGAGTGGTGGGGAGGCTACAATACAAGGCAGAGACCTTAAACAAAATGCCAAACCTTCTCCCGGTACCTTATTGAGGTTTAGAATGCTTCTGTGTCATATAATACAGAATGGGCAAGGTCCAGCTGGCATTTGCGAACAAGATGAGAAAGATATTTTATGCGTCTCTGTGGCCTTGTTGTCTGATGTAATACCTGGCGTGGGGTAGGCGCTCAGGAATTTTATCTGAATGATTAAAAGAAGGAAGAAAGGGAGGGAGGGAGGAAGGAAGGGCCAATTGCCCACCCCTTTTTAATCCCAACAGTTTTATAGGAACTGGACCTTGCTCTGAATTTCAGCACCACCTGCCTGGTTGGGGAAGGGTGTGCTCAGGATACTCATGCCTCCCTTCCCTTCTACTTCCCAGCTGGCTGTTTGAAGGGCTGGGCAGAGACAAGGCAGAGGAGCTGCTCCAGCTGCCAGACACGAAGATGGGCTCCTTCATGATCCGAAAGAGTGAGACGAAGAAAGGTGAGCGGCCTCTGACTCCCCTTTCCCTGCCGGGGCTGAGAGCAGCAGCTTTTGTTCCGGACTGATTCATGACTCGGTTCATTTTGCCTCCTCCCACAACACATGCAGACCCATCCGATCTGGTGAGCTCCCTGCAGCCCACACACCCCCGGAGAGGCCAGTGTGAAAGCTAGGGGCCCAGAGCCAGGGAGCGGGGGACCTGGCAGGGTGAGGCCACGGCTGGCCAGACTCAATGAGCCCCGCAGGCTCCCGCCGCGAAACGTCCCATCAACTGGGAAGCAAAGCAAACAGCGGGTGTAGGCAGCACTGGGCCCGAGTGAGCAGGCTTGGGACTAGGCCCCACCCACGCTCTCTAGCTCTGTGCCTTGGGCAGGTCGTTTACTTCTCCAAGGGCAGTATATTCATCTGGGGTGCCATATGCAATCATAACTGTGTTTATAGTGCTCTTGCTACACAGGGGACTTTCAGCATTGGTTACCACTGTGCCCTACGATGGATTCAGACATCTTAGAGAATCAGGACAGGCAGATGGATGCTCTTACTTATGCACCATGATCATTATCATTACAACTTCCTTACATCTTACACATTAAGTAATTCAGTGAAAACAAAATAGCAGGGCTCTTTGTCATGGTTCAGAACAAGGGCTCTGAATTCTAGTTTTGGCTGCATGCATTACTGACAGGCACCTGTCTCACTAAGCCTGGGTACCCTTTCCTAGAACATGGGATTGACACTAGGAAGGTACTTAGCACAGTTTCTGGGATGTGGTAAGCACTTTAACTCACAGGAGCAAGACACTGACCAGTTAGGGCTTTCCCAGACTAACTAAGAATAACACCATTTTAAAAACAAAAGATACATTCAGGTTCTTAGCCTGCTTCTTGTGTCCTCAATATCAAAGAAGAGAAAATGTGATATCTGAGAGTATTTCCCACATACCTACTAAGGGTCAGTGCATTTTGGAGCTCAGCCCTTCACCAAAATTAGCATCAGCCTTACTGTGGAGAAGCAGGGACCATCTATCTATGGTTAGAAAATTCAAGAACAACTTTTCTCTCAAAAACTCTAATGTGCTAGGGGAAAACAAGATCAACGCAAAGACCACATTTCCTGTGCATGCCCTGGCAGTCCCTAGAGGTGGGAGACCCAGACTCAGATAGGACTTCTAAGCTGGCATGGCCAAGTGAGGGAAGAACCCAGCTTGGGGTTCCAGAGCTGATCTGAAAATAAAGACGCTTTCAGGCAGATCTGTAGCCAAGCTGGGCCGGGGCTGGGCTGGGGGTGGGCGGGTGGCAGGCTCTGCTCCCTTGGGTATGCAAAGTTCTGTTAATTTTCCACCTGCCACCTTTGACCTGCTCACCGTACTTCCAGTTCCTGTCAGTGTTACAGGAAGATGCACGCTGGGCTTCAGAGGGCAGGCCTGGGGCAAAAGTAGGAATGCCCATCAGGACAAGGGTCAGACCCCAGATCTGCCATTTCCAAGCTGCGTGCCTCTGGCCATAGCACTCAGGGGCTCGGAGCCTCGTTTCTGTATCTATAACATATCTGGGGGCAGCACTTGGAAATAGCTTAGCCCATGAGCAGCCCAGAGAGACAGCAGAGACTCAGTAAATGCTCAGGTCCTTCACTCACTGTCTAGTGAGTGTTTTCACTCCTGGGACCCAAAGGATAGAGCAGAAGGCCCCTAGGTCCAAGTCTCCCACTTTCCACTTGGGAAAATCAAGGCTAGGAGAGGGGAAGGTGCTTGCCCCAATTTCTGCTCTTCCTAATCCCTACTGCATCACTACCTTCATGGTGCTTAAGGAGAAATGGCATGTTGGACATGTTTCTTAGGGATACCCAGAAAAAGTCTTAGCTGCCCCTTTTTCCAAATTTCTGAGAAAACCAAGCATAAAGCATAACCAAGAGGGAGCAGGGACCAGGAAGTGGTATGACATGGTGGCCTTCCAGAAGAGGATGTGGAAGCCCCTGGAATGGTAGGCTCACAGAGCAAAGACTAAGCAGGTGTTCCTGAAAATCTGTGTGGCTAATGTCGTGGGGTTGCTAAAGGAGCGCGCTCCTGGGGTCTCTGCAGAGTGAGTGCCGTCCCTGAAGACAGGGCCCTAGCAGCGGCTCCTCCAAACGCAGGAGTGCACATCTGGGTATTCTCCTTGCATCCCAAGGCTGAGGGATTCTCTCCATCACCGCCCTCGCAGGGACCAAGTGGGATGCCTCTGACCCGGCCCCCATCTTCTGCAGGTTTTTATTCTCTCTCGGTGAGACACAGGCAGGTGAAGCATTACCGCATCTTCCGCCTGCCAAACAACTGGTATTACATCTCCCCGAGGCTCACCTTCCAGTGCCTGGAGGACCTGGTGAATCACTATTCTGGTAAGAAGCACCCCATGGGGACAGATCAATGAAGCCCCTCTTGGTTAACTGCCCCGAGGTGCCTGTGTCTAGGACGGGCACGGGTCCCCAACTCGTGCCAGGTGACTGACTTGGCTCTCACCCTGCTCCCTTAATCTGCTCTTTTCTTGTTAATGCAGACTATAGGTTTCAAGTTAAAACAGGCTGCCTGCGAAGGCTGCATAAGTAGGTAAAATGCAGCTAATCTCGACCTCACCCTCACCCTCTTTCCACCTGCAGTTGGAAAGAAATAGAACACCTCAATATTTGCAATGGCAAACTGTTGGCATTTCCTTAAGTGGACCCCTGAGGTTTTGTTCTGAAATGCCACTCATGTCCCTTCCTGCCTGGCAAAATCCTCCTCAGCCTTCAACGCAACAGGAAGCAAACACCTTCTTGATATGTGTTAGGAGTCAGGATCAACTGCCTGTCTTCTCAGCTCCCGTACATGCCGGCATTTCCCTCGAATAGGGTCCACCTGCCTCGTGACCAAGTGAACTGTGTCCTAGTCTGGCTTTTCTGGCAAGCGCTAAAGACCGGGGCTGCACTTTGTTCCTGGAGATGCTTCTCTGGGCCCAGGAGGGAGGTCCCAGTGTTCCACACCGGCCAGGATGGGGAGCATCCTCCAAGATGGCAGCAGCAGAAAGGGTTTTGATGGGGGTGACAGGGAAGAGTAGAGTCAAAAGAGGAGATCGGAGTTAGACTGTAACAGGCCCGAATGCCAGGTCTGGAGGTGACATTTTACCCCATGGGAAAAGGGGGAAATAGTAAAAAGTTGGCCCTGGAACCTCTGCGTTCACATCCCAGATCTTCTGGGCAACCCCGGGCTTGTTGTTCGCCTTTGTGCCTTAGGGTGTTGTGAGGAATCCTCGGGATAACGAAGGGAAAGAGCAGAGGGGAGGGCCTGACATGTAAAGGTGGGCTCCTGCTCACGTTGGCTTCTGTCCCTAAGACCAGGACTCCCCCTTCCTCCTCCCTTCCCCTGCCTGTTGGAGGAAGGAGGAAGTTGCTCTCATGTTGTATGTGTCTTCCCACTTCTGGTTCAAAACCTCACACCCCTGGGTGTCTTTGCTAGCATTCTACAGGGTGTGGGGTCTTGAAGGGCATTTCAAAGTGAAAGGAGCCCACAGGGCTTGGGTAATCACACCTGCCCAGTGAGAAGAAGGGCAGGACATAGAGGCGGAATGGTCTCTTGGGAGACACAGGCCCAAGCTCGGATCTGGGCTCTGGGAGACATTGGGAAGAGACCCCCATCTCTCAGCTGCAGCACCCCGTTCATGGAAGGTGGATGCGAACAGCCCCCTGGCAGGTGGTGGCAATGACTGGCTTGTTAATGTAACGTGTACCCTAATGTAGTGTAATTATGGAAGGGGGCAAATGCAAAATAAATGATACCAAATGTTACTTCTTTGATGCCTGGAAACCTAGCAGCTTAGCTAAAAATGAAAGAGGAAGGGAGTCCTGGAGATAGTCAACTTTTACTGATTATGAGTAAAGGTTGGTTGTGGTATTTGGTTTTTAATAACAATCATCAGAGGGATGGGGAGACCATAAGTTTTGCATAGACAAAAGCAAACATGAAAAGGATGCTGCTCCAGCAAAGATTGTACAGACCGGGAGACCCATGAGGCATCCAGGCCAAGAGCACCCAAGCAGCTTGCGCCAGTGCAAGAGCAGTGCCTTCCAGAAATATGTCCTTGGCCACTGTGTCAGGGGCTTCCTGTGCCCCTGGGGACCCCCAAATGGAAACAACATGGCCAGTTTTACCTCCCTCCAGATTCTACCCAGAGACAGAGAATCAAAAAAATTCTGTGCTAAGGGCTCTGAACAGACATCTTCGTGTTCCAGGTGGCTTATATTTATTACCTGGTGCCTTGGGAAAATTCATTAACCTCTTGGAGCCTCAGTTTCTTCATCTCTAAAATGGGGACTTTAGTCCCCATGCCTCTTATGAGACTGTTGTTAGGACCGAGCACAAAACCATGAGTGTAAAGGTCTGGCCCCTAAAGGATCCCATGCATAGTGGTGACTGACAGGACAGAGGAGGTGGGGCACAACTCCCCAAATATGGCCAGGAAAGCAAAGGGCTGAAAAAGGGGACCCCTGAATGTAGAGTGGTTGGGAGCCCAGGCGTGTGAGAGGAATAAGCGTTCTGGAAAATTCTAGAGTGGAGAAACTGAGGGAAGTGTGTCCAGACCTCAGAGGCAGATAGGACCCCTCTCTCCCGATTTTGGAGGTAATGGATTGCCTTCGGAACAAGTATCTGGTTCTGAGTCAATGAGGCACGTTCAGATCACATCTCTGTGACCTTGAGCAAGTGACCTGAGCCCAGGGATCCTCCTCCAAGTGGGTGTGAAAACACTGCCGCTCAGAGCTGCGGGGGCCGCGCTGAGATGAAGCGTGGAGGTTAGCTCAGCACGGCGCTCCAGTGGGGTGCTGGAGGTGTTGGTCCTTTTACTCTTTGTGGGGATTCCGGCTCGCCCTCAGGGTTAAGTTCTCACAGACCCCCTCCGCCCTGTGCGGTCTCCTGGCACGGGTGGCTTCAGTATCCGTCCCCCTCCATCTCCCTCACCTCCTAACCTGGGAGGTCCTTTCAATTTCCAGCCCAGGACCGGGCAGTATTTCAGATGCACATCCAGTTAAGCTCCCCCTAATCTCAGGGTCCAATCTCGCATTTTCGACCAGTGTGGGTGGACATATGAGTTCACGGTGAAAGTCAGACCGAACACCAAGAAACAAGGCATTACTGGCTGCCACACTCTGCTAGCCTGGGTTTGCTTCTTCAGCTACAACCTCCTTTTGTTCTTTGGCAAGACCACCCAGAGCTCCCTAAATAAGTTGGGAGGCGAAGACGGCCAGAAGTAAATGTGCTCCCTTAAACCTGGTGATGGATCAGCTCCAGGCCAGGGGCCTCTGTCCTGCTGCAAGCCAGCAATGTCTCATGTCCTCGGCCACTCCGTGCCCCCTGCACTGGGGTCTGCAGCCTGAACAAAGCCACACGGGATTTTCTCTGTCTATAAGAACATCTGAGGGGCACCCGGGAAGCTCAGTCAGTTGGGCGTCTGCCTTCAGCTCAGGTCATGGATCCGGGAGTTCCAGGATCGATCCCTGCATTGGGCTCCCTGCTTCTCACTCTGACCCTCCCTCGTCTCATGCTCTCTGCTTGTCACTCTCTGTCTCTCAAATAAATACATAAAATCTTAAAAAAAAAAAAAAGTCTGAGCACAGCCAGAACCAAAGCTGTCCCACAGCCATGGAGGTGGAGGCTAGAACCTGATGCTCCTGGAGAGATGAGCGACCCTGGGGGCGATGTTAGGGGGAGGGAAGCAATGGATTATTTAATTTTTATTCTCTTTGTGCATGAGCATCCAGGCTAGAGAAGAGAGATACTTCTTCATTTTTTCCTTTGTCCACTTTCTCTTGTTTGCCTTTATCTTTGTCTAAGTCATCCTCCTTCTTTGCTGGTGTCTTTTCTTTTTTGGTTCTGTGATTACTTCCTCCCCTCCCTCCCTCCCACCTTTCTTTATTCCTGCCCTCCTGCTCACTCCCTCTTCCTTCCTGTCTTCTTTCTGCACGCGTTCTATTCTCCCGTCTTCCTGCACCTGCATGAGCCACCTGTGCAGGAGGAAGTGCTGTTCCTCGGACTTGGACCCCACCTTGCACATGGCGCACATGATGGAGCCATGATGGAGCCATGCTCAAGCGTGAAACCTTAGAGGCCGGGCCTCCTGTCAGCTGTTCTCACTTGTTAGCCTGTCCTCTCAGTGTGCGGTCCAGGAAACCGAGGCTCGGAGAGGTTCAAAGGGATTCACAATCAAGGGCGTAGTTGAAATCCAAATCCAAGTGTAGTTGATCCTGGAGCCAATCTTAATGCTTCACCTGCTCCTGCTCTGACCTAAGCACAGTACATATTTAGGGCACATTAACATTTCTTAAACAACTGGATGCCTGACTCTCTGCCCTGCCATGCCTCTTTCCTATCTTAGCCTCAGTTTCCCCATGTGAACAATCAGGGGGCTGTACTGGATGGTCCCTCAGGCCCCACACCCCACGCTGGGTGGGGTATCCCAGGGTCACTGACCAGTTGTCTGCTTCCCTCCTTAGAGGTGGCTGATGGCCTCTGCTGTGTGCTGACCACACCCTGCCTCACTCAGAGCACGGCCACCCCGGCCGTGAGGGCCCCTGACTCGCCGCCTATCACCTTGCGCCAGAAGACCTTCGACTGGAAGAGGGTGCCCAGGTGGGTTGTGTGTGTGTGTGTGTGTGTGTGTGTGTGCTGCATGAATGTATGACCCCCAAACCTGTGTGAGAGGCTGACAGCTGAAAATATGGCAGCCTACAGCCCTCGCTGTGGAAAGCTGAGCGGGACACTCTGCAACCCACAGAATCCCACTGTCCCCTGGGAGACCCTAACCCAGCTTCAGGCCTCACTGCCATTGCATTTTGTAGGATATCTGTAGTTGGGAGTTAGTGAGTTATCTTAACCAAACATTGATCCTGACATTCCATTGGCAAATTCAAAGAAAATCAGAGATCAGAATTGCCTGGGAGATGAAGAAAATCTGCTCTTCCTTGTAAATGTCATAAAGAAATATTCATTCAAATTTGCAGTTGGAAGTTATAGCCATTCGAGTTAATGGTGGTTCTGAGAGGTTAAGTGATTTCTCCAAGATCACATGGCCACAAATGTAAGAAGCAGAATGAGAACAATAAGTTAGAGAAATATTAACCAGGCTTTTTTTTCTTCTTTTTTTCCTTCTCCCATTTTCTTGTTCTCCCTGTCTCTATGTCTGTCTCTTCTTTCCCTTCGCACTCACAGACTGCAAGAGGACCCTGAGGGAGCCAGGAACCCACTTGGTGTGGATGAGTCCCTTTTCAGCTACGGCCTTCGAGAAAGCATCGCTTCCTACCTGTCCCTGACCAGCGATGACAACACCTCCTTTGATCGCAAGAAGAAAAGCATGTCCTTGATATACAGCGGGAGCAAGAGGAAGAGCTCCTTCTTCTCATCACCACCATATTTTGAAGACTAGCCTGAGAATAGACACCATTGTGTACCCAAAGTAACAGAGGTTGGAACTGTCACCTGGGATATGGCAGGGAGGCATGGTTCCCCAGCCCCTGGGGAACCGCACATCTTCCAGAAGCCAAGAAAAGGCACATGGAGACTCGAACTCACATCTTCTCTGTCCACATCATGACAAAAGGAACCCCTCCCTCGTGTCTGATCAGTACTGAGATATCACGAAACGTTGAATCACGATGTGATTGGGCAACATTTCAGAAGAGCCCCGTGTACTTGTGTGTGCTTGTTGTGTTTGTGGGAAAGATAAAGACATTATCTCACAAGAAAGTGCACAAGACTGTTCAACGAACTGTCCAAATGGTCACTCTGAGCTCATCAGAGATAACTTCGGAACAAGAAAAGCCTGGGAAGAAGATGAGCCACAAGCTGCAGTCTGGCCAGTCCAGGTTTGCAAACAGGTCCCCCGCTATGAGCTTTTCTAACCAACCCAGAAAGAGACCTTTGGTATGCAGCTCCTCTCTTTTTAACAGAACTCAGTGACACTAAATGTTAATCTTCCTTATCATCCCTGAATCAGGAGATCCCGGTGGCCTGCTGGTGCCAGGAATCAGACAGCCTACCTGCCTCCGTAGAGGGCGAGGCAAAGGGGAGAGAGGGAGGCTGCTTGTGGGAAAATGGGAGGGTCGCCTTGGAGTCGTGCAAGGTTTCCTGGTGTCCCCAGCCATGGCTTCACAGTGCAGAAAGAGCTTCTCTGACAGGCTGGGACTCTTGCCAACAATAATGCATCAGTTGTTTACTCATGATTGCCTGAAGAGCTAACTGTGTTAAGTCCTATGTCAGGTTGAAAGAAAGAAAGGGAATAAAAGAAAAGAAAAAAGGATCAGCAGAGGCACCCACAGTATAGACAGGGAGAAAAATCTACAGACAAATATCGTGAAAGTGGGTTGTAGAAGGAGAAATCAGCTCATGGTTCCGGGGGGACTGGGTCAGGCAAGGGTGGCCCATGAGCTCATGTCTCAGCTGCACCTTCACAGAGGGTAAGTGCAGCTGGATTGAGTAGGCGAGAATGGTTGGCCTTTTTGGAAATGGCAAATTGATTAAATTCTAAAGAATTAATTCTAATTCTAAAGGATTCATTCATTTACGTGATTTTTCTGTATCATCAGTATTTTATTCTAAGAAGGGCCTGGCAGCCACATGAAGAAAACTGCTGAGCTCCAGGAAAGAAGGGAGGCAGAGTGGCTTTAATTCTGTCCTACTAATTTTAAGAGATGAGAGAGAAAGCACAGCAAAGTTCTGGAAAAGGAGAAGTATTTATCTTGAGGCTGTCCATCCGGATCTTGTTAGGAAGGGGGCTGCAGATGCACCCATGACTCATTTTCCCCTGTTGCAAAGGGATTTGGGGGGAGGGGTGCCCATGGAACCCTTCGCTGCCTGATACAAAATGTCTGTCTGTTCACCACACACATTCCGTAGATCTGAGATCACTGTGCTGGTGGTATGTGTATATGCATTTACGTGATTTTCTGTATCATCAGACTCTTGTGTGTTTATACAAGAAGACATTTATGGTTTCCTGCAAGAAACCCTAAAGGCCGTTTCAAGGGGCCAGCTGATGTGTGGGAAATGAATATAACACTGTGGATGCTGACTTCCACCACAAGGGAGGGTGACCTTGCAAAAGCCAGATGTTTGTACGGTGTCATATGCATTGTTTTCCGTTGTAACTAGTGTGCTGGGAACTTTCGGGGAGCACTCAGAGGCATTTCTAACTGGGAAGCATTACACTTTGCTAAATCATGTATTTATTTCTGATTAAAATATACCCAATAAATATTTAACCTTTGGCATGTGGGGAGAGCTTTCTGGGTGAGGTGGGTGCGTGGCTCATTTGGAAGCTTCTTTGGGTCTTGAATTTTCAGACAAACTTGCCCCTGGAGAGAGGTGAGAGCAAGGAACACCAAGAAGAACTGCACTGGTTAGCAGCTCAGCTTTTTCTTGAAGTGCAGCCTTAAGAAAACTGGATTTTGTGAATTTGGAGGGTGTCTTATCAAACTTGAAGGTGGACACAGGGGGTCAGGGGAGAGAACAACTTCTTAGCAATTGCTATGAGCATTCTGCCTCACCTAGGTAACTTCTGTGGATCACTTGTGATATCTCGGCTTTCTGTTTTTCCAAGAATTTATTTCTACACATATTTTCCTGGACACCTACTAAATGCCGGACGTGGCTCCAGGCACTAGGGCTGTAGCAGTGATAACCAGATGAGGTCTCTGATATCACAGAGCTTGAGATCATAAATAAACAAGAAACTTTGTCACGGCAGGGAAGGTAGTACAGACAGTAACCTGGGCTGCTGGGCCTGAGTGTGACGGGATGAGGACTCGTTTAACTAGACGCCTGCTTAGGAAAGGCCTCCCTGCCAGTGGACGCGTCTGAGCTCCCATATGAGCTGAGGCCTGAAAGATGAACAGCAAACAGCCAGGAAAATATCTAAAGGAAAACCGGAGGCAGTAGAGTGAATTGAGGCGATTCCTGTGGACAGGAGCAAGGCTGCCTGTGGAAGAAACCGGAAGAAGAACCAGAGTGGCTGGGCTGAGTGAGCTAGTGAGGGGCGGAGGGCTGCCAGGAGGGAGGCAGGTACTGCAGGGTTCTGGATGGAAGGGTCAGGAGCTTAAGGTGAATTCTAGGAGAAAGGCAAAGACAATGGAAGGATCTAATTAGGGGAAAGATATCATCTCATCCACGTGTTTTAAAGAACATACCGGTTGCTGCGAAGAGAACAGATTTTTAAAATTCTGGTGTTGTGGGCGCCTGGGTGGCTCAGTTGGTTAAGCGACCACCTTCGGCTCAGGTCATGATCCTGGAGTCCCGGGATCGAGTCCTGCATCAGGCTCCCTGCTTGGCGAGGGGCCTGCTTCTCCCTCTAACCCTCCCTGCTCTCATGTACTCTCTCTCTCTCATTCTCACTCTCTCAAAAATAAATAAATAAATCTTAAAAAAAAAAGAGAAAATTCTGGTGTTGTATTATCTACTTGACACGTAGTGAAAATTTGCAAGCTCTAAGACAAAAGAATGCAGGATTTCAAAATAAAGGGTTGGAAAATTTTTTGTGCAAAAATGAACAAAGGGCAAGTGCTGAATTTTGAGGCAAAATGAAATTGAAGGCAAAAATAAATTACATGGTGGTGGCGGAGCAAGATGGCGGAGGAGTAGGAGACCTGGATTTCATCTGGTTTCAGGAATTCAGGTGCACAGGGATCAAACCATTCTGAACACCTACGAACTCAAAAGGAGATCGAAGAAAAGAATAACAACAACTCTCTGAACAGAGAAGCGACCACTTACTGGAAGGTAGGACGTGCGGAGAAGTGAATCCGAGGCGATATTTGGGAGGGATAGACAGCGGGGGAGGGGGCCTCCGTCGGCCACTTCTGGCAAGTGATAGAGCCGCGGAGCACAAAATCGGAACTTTTAAGAAGTCGGCTCCGCTGAGGGACGTCGCTCCAGTGGCTAAGCGGGGGTGGAACCCTCGCAGGACATTGTGGTCTCAGGACCCTCGGGGTCACAGGGGGACCGGGGGTGCCTGAGTGTGGCAGAGCTCCCAGGTATCGCAGTGGGGAAGCCGGCTGCAGAGACGGAGCCGAGGCGCGGGCTCTCAGCTCAGGGTTGCCATAGACTCTGATCGGTGACACAGTTGGGCCACTGCTCCTCCAGCGGGGACCCAACAAGTGGCAGATCCCCCGGGAGGAGCGGCACAGGAGCGCACCGCAGGGATCTGCTGGGTTTGGAGACTCCACATGGGGTCGTGTGCCAGAGATAGAAATGCTCAGTCACAGGCCGGGTGAGCACAGTGTGTGGCCGGAGACCAGGGAGACAGGAGTGATTGACGGCTTTTCTCTGGGGGCGCACTGAGGAGTGGGGCCCCGAGTTCTCAGCTCCTCTAGGGTAGAGATTGGGAGGCCGCCATTTTCACCCTGGTCCTCCAAAGCTGTACCGAGAGCTTGCAGGGAACAAAAGCTTCTGAGAGCAAACCTGAGTGGATTACTCAACCCGGACCAGCAAGGGCAGGGCAATTCCACCTCCAGCAAAGACATTTGGGAACCACGGCAACAGGCCCCACCCCCAGAAGATCAGCACGAACAGCCAGCCAAGACCAAGTTTACCGATCAATGAGAAAAGCAGAACTGCAGCTCTAGGGCAATACTGCACATAGAATTCATGGCTTTTTTCCCATGATTCTTTAGTCTTTCAAAGTTAATTTTTTTAACTATCTTTTTTT